TGTATGTGGCCAGCTCAGCCCACCAGGGAGCGGGGCTGGCTGGCATGTGGTGCTGGGGGATTGAACCGCGGTCCCTGTGCTTTGCCAAGCTTGTTCTAAGTAGGTGCTTTAGACCACTGAGCCATCTCTCCAGCCCAATAATAAAAATATTTTAAATAAAATGAAAATGACAGTGTTTCCTTGAGGTAATTATTTTTATGCTATTTCTTGAACCATTGAATGCAAGTTTTTTTTCTCAACAGGTTCGGACGTTTACTTAAGGCGAGAACTTATATGCTGGGGTGACAGTGTTAAATTACGCTATGGGAAAAAACCAGAGGATTGTCCTTACCTCTGGGCACATATGAAAAAATATACTGAAATTACTGCGACTTACTTCCAGGGTGTCCGTCTTGATAACTGCCACTCAACACCTCTCCATGTAGCTGAGGTATAGAAAAGCAATTTCTATATTAACAAACAATAACAAGAAGAAGAGCATTCTTTTGCAGCTTTCCTTAAGTAGGCAATTATGCAGATACATGTTTCATTATGCTGTTTGGATTCTGGCATTGTTTGGTGGTAAAATTTGACACTTTTGCATATTTTCCTACTTCTAACAATCTTTTAATACTGTTGTTATAGAAAACTGGGTGATAAAATATTTAACAAGTTAATTTTTAAACTTCAGTTTGGGGAAGTTGATCATTTTAAATATCAAAATATATATCAAAGCTATGATCATAGTATGTATCAAAACTATGATCATAATATATGTGAAAACATTGTTGCCTATTGGTAATAGGTAAAATATTTGCTTTTTTTAAGGTTGCTTTCCATGTATACTAATAGCCAATATAAAGTTGAATAGTTTTTTATACATTATAGTAATTTTAGAGCAAAAAAATTCTAGAGGTCAAACCCAGAGCCTCAAACAAGATAGAGAAGAGCTCTGCTGCTGAGCCACGCTCCCAGCCCTTCGTCGGTTTCACTCCCAAGAAACATTCTGCAGGTAGTCCAATGGTGATTGTTTAAACTCTGATATCATTCCACGTTGAGGCTTGTTTTAGCCTCACTGATTTAATTTATACCGATTATCTAGTAAAAAAATATAAACATAACTATTATGTGTTTATTTTTAGGCTTTTAAAAACTACTTGTGATCAGTGCCGGTATTTATAAAATTATATCCTAACAGAGCTTTGTAAATAGACACAAAATTTTTATTCTAAGAGGTATAATAGCTCCTAGTTTATTACTTGCTATTCTTTGGAAATATGTGCTTATTTGAAAAATATCTTTCTCTATTTTTTAATTTTATGTATTTGGTACAGGGTCTCACTATGCATGTTGGACTCACAGTGATCCTCCTATTTCAGCCTCCCCAGTGCTGGGATTACAGACATGGGCCACCATGCCTGGTTTCAGTGGCCAGCTCTATGCTTCTGGGCTGGCATGGCATGCAGTACTGGGGACAGAACCCGGATCCCTGTATTTCCCAGGCAGGCGCTTAGACTGCTGAGCTATCTCCCCAGCCCTGTTTCTATAATTTCTATACACAATTATAATGTATATGTTTCAAGCCTGTGATGAAAAATTGATTTCATTTGGAGGGATTTAGTAAACATTCGTTACACTAGTAGAGCCTTGTTCAGCTCCAAAAGTGGCAGTCAGTCTCTCTCTCTCTCTCTCTCTCTCTCTCTCTCTCTCTCTCTCTCTCTCTGTCTCTCTCTCTCTCTTTCAAGATTTTGTTTTTAGCAGCAGCAAATATATACATACTTATAACATTGTTAGGGCATTGTGACAAAACTGAATGTTAGCACTTAATTTGTGTAATTTAAAATTACAGAATCCTTTGTGATTCTACTTGTTAGCTAATAGAATTTCATATATTTTGTTAACTTGTGAAAACATTGTGAAAAAAATTTTGGAATTGCTCTGATTTCTGATTATAAATCAATATTCTTTGATTGTCAGCTAGATAACACCAAAGTAAAAGAAGTTATGCAAGTAGAAATTGTAAGATGTTAGAGCTTAAGAGTTTATTATTATCTATAGGCTTAGGGTTAGCCAGTGAGACCTAATCTTTGCATTAGTTAGATAATTTACCAGCAGGGAAGTTATCAGTAATGATAAACTTAATTAATCAATCAGAAATTAGTCTGACTATTGAATAGAGGTATTAAAAATATCAAAAAATGGAAGAGATTGGAAGATTTGGCATTTTACCCATTATATTTTTAACAGCATTAATATTTTTCTTCTTTATGTCTCAGTATCTTTTGCAAAATCTTACCTTCCTTTTAAACTGTTTTACTCTATAAATTCTCTTATTCCTCCATGTATCGGTCTGTTTGATGTTTTCTTACATGTGGAAACAAAATTTATTTGGAAATTCTCTTTGAATGTCCGCTCTGTCCTGCCTCCTCCCTTCTGACACATCTTGTTTTTCTCTTTCTTTTACATTTGTGACTGTGCTTCTTGCAGTACATGTTGGATGCTGCTAGGAAATTACAACCCAATTTATATGTGGTAGCTGAACTATTCACAGGAAGTGAAGATCTGGACAATATCTTTGTCACTAGACTGGGCATTAGTTCCTTAATAAGAGGTAGGTGGATTGAAGTATATTTCCCATCCAAAATTTTACCTTTTGTCGAGGTGGATTAAAAGACATTTAAGAACTATATATGAAATGCTTACTAACTTTGTGTTTGCTTAGTCTAATGAAGTTTTTTTTAATTTTTTTTATTTTTTATTTATTTGTGTGTGTGTGTGTGTGTGTGTGTGTGTGTGTCCAGCTCAGCCCACCAGGGGGCGGGGCTGGCTGGCATGTGGTGCTGGGTGATTGAACCGTGGTCCCTGTGCTTTGTTAAGCTTGTTCTAAGTAGGTGCTTTAGACCACTGAGCCATCTCACCAGCCCATCTAAGGAAGTTTTATATGTAACTTCTTATTAGTAAAAATGTCTACTTTGAGGCATGTTACCTCACTTCAAATTAAAGACCAGTGGGATACATTTATAACTTAAAAACAAAACCATTTATTGTTTGAAATATGCAGAACTTTTTTATCTCTTACATAGATTTAAGACATAACTTCTACATTTCTCACCCTATGATTTTTTGTATAGAGAACTTTCCAATAAACAAATATTTCCTACTGAGCCATTTTTGCTCGTAAGTCATAGGAGGACCTCCTTGATCATTAAAATTAGTTGACAGTTGTTTAATTGTTTAAAGACATTCTATTCTTTATAATATTCATGTGTTCTTTATTTTAAAGTTAGTCATGATAAATCTAATCTCTTCCTGGATGTAAATGATAGAATATTGTTAAAATATTGTATAATATTCTGCAGAGGCAATGAGTGCATATAATAGTCATGAAGAGGGCAGATTAGTTTACCGATATGGTGGAGAACCTGTTGGATCCTTTGTTCAGCCCTGTCTGAGGCCTTTAATGCCAGCTATTGCACATGCCCTGTTTATGGATATTACCCATGATAATGAGTGTCCTATTGTGGTAAGCATCAATTCATTTTTTGTATTTACCTATTTTGCTAAATGTTCTGATATTTAGTCTTAGTATTTTGTAGCAAGAATGTTCACAGACTTCAAAAGAGCATACTAGATTTATAAGTGAATACCTACATTTTAGAATATTGTTTAAAAAATGTACTGCACCTCATAGAATGTGTTTATGTAGTTATCTTTTTACTTCATTATGCTATGGAATGGCACTTTGCGTTTGAAAGAAAGTAAACTTTTGCTTTGCTTTTGTTTTATAGCATAGATCAGCCTATGATGCTCTTCCAAGTACCACAATTGTTTCTATGGCATCATGTGCTAGTGGAAGTACACGAGGCTATGATGAATTAGTGCCTCATCAGGTTTGTTTGTATGCTGTTTTCTAAAATCCAGTGGCTGTCAATTTTGAGCATTTTTATCAAAACTCATTGTAACTACAAAAAGTTAAAAATTATTTATATATATATATAACCAAGTTTCACCTTTCCCCAGATATCAGTGGTTTCTGAAGAACGGTTTTACACTAAATGGAACCCCGGAGCATTGCCGTCCAATATGGGTGATATTAATTTCCAAAGTGGAATTATTGCGGCCAGGCGTGCTATCAATAAACTTCATCAAGAGCTTGGAGCAAGAGGCTTTATTCAGGCAGGAGCCCTGAATCTTCTAAATTTCTATCTAAAGATTCCCAGAAAAAGACTTCGCAATTTGAAAGCTAACCTTGTTACTTTTTCCGTCTCTCAGGTGTATGTAGATCAAGTAGATGAAGACATAGTGGCAGTGACGAGACATTCACCTAGTGTCCATCAGTCTGTTGTGGCTGTATCGAGAACCGCTTTCAGAAATCCCAAGACTTCATTTTATAGCAAGGAAGTGCCTCAAATGTGTATCCCTGGTATGCAGTCTAAAAATCGTTGCCGGACATGGGGCACACATCTGTAACCCCAGCACTTGGGAAGCTGTGTGAGGAGGGTCACTGTGAGTTCAAGGCCAGCCCAGGGTACATAGTGAGTCTGAGGCCAGCCTGAACCACATAGTAAGACCCTGTCTCTAAATCAGTAAATAAATATTATTATTGTAACTATATATTAAATTATACATGTACTATAATGTTATATTGAATTTTCATTATATGTTTGTTTATATAACAGGATGAATGTCTTTGAGATGAATAATTAGAAATACTGGATTATATTTTTACTGCATGGGACAAAATCTGAATAGAAATAGTCTCAACTGTTAACTTTTTTGAGTGTTTGAAATAGTTACATCTTAATATACAGTATTCCATATATAGTGAGCATGTATTGTTTATCTTTTATGCTATCAAAGTATTTCATTATATACATGTATATGCACATGTATGTTTGTAAGTGTATGTTGTTTATGTAAACATAAGTGGATCATAGTCTTAATACTTAAGACTCTTTATAATCCATCCTCATCTACCATCCTAGCCTTATTCCACCCTATTTCAGCCAAATAGTTTTTCACTCTTGCCCAAGTAATCCTACTTCCACTTGTACATAAATTGTTTATATCTTTCAAAGCCTACACTTATATCTCCTTTGAGAAGCCTAAAACTACTCAGTGATCTCTGTCTTCTAAACATAGAACAATCATAGTTATGTCTCTCCTCTAACATCTGACTATAAAATATGGCCAGGCATGGTGGTTCACACCTGTAATCCCAGCACTAAGGAGGATGAGCAGAAGGATTACCATGAGTTCAGGACCAGACTACATTACATAAGAGAGTTCAAGACCAATCCAGCATACACAGGGAGACCTTGTCTCAGAAAAACAAAACAAAACCAAAAATTAATTGTGAAGTATGCCCTTAAGATATTTCCTTACTGTTACCTTTTTGCTAGATGTGTATATTTCCTTGGCATTATAGGTCACAGATATTAAAGCAACCTTTCTTTGATGCAAACAACTTCCAAGTTTGTTGACTTAGTGAATGATGATTCCTATAAAAGTCATATTTTATATTTGTTGCTAGTTGCTAAAGATGCATAACTCTAGTGTTTAAGAATTATCAATCGTGAAGTTTTAGGTTAAATATTCACTATTTCAGCTATTCAAAAATTTATATTCAGTAATCTTGTCTGATCTTTGCAGTTTTCTGTTTAGTTTTTTTAGTGCTGAGGATTGAACTCACAGCCTCACATTGGCTAAATGCACATTCCATCACTGAGCTGCTGTGCTCCTAGCAGCCATAGTTACCTTACAGAACTCAGATGCTGTACAATATTATCTCATTTTTTATCACTGATCATACATTAAACATTTCCATTCGTCAATCCATGAAATTGTGATCTTTACTATATTTCATATTTTGTTTGATTAGTATTCAGTTTCTAGTCTTTGTATGGCTAATGGTGTTCTTATTTAAGCTTTGGATATTCGCTAGGAATATGTTTTGTTAAAAATTTTTGTGTGTTTCCAGGCAAAATTGAAGAAGTTGTTCTTGAAGCTAGAACTGTTGAGAGAAATACACAACCTTATAGAAAGGATGAGCATTCCATCAATGGGATGCCAAACATCACAGTAGAAATCAGAGAACATATTCAGGTATCTGGGGCTCTCAGTTTTTACTATATGTAATACTTTAATGACATTAGAATTATTTCTTTGAACAGATTTTTACATTTTTTTTTTCCAAGCTCAATGAAAGTAAAATTGTTAAACAAGCTGAAATTGCCGCAAAAGGGCCCCATGAATATATTCAAGAAATAGAATTTGAAAACTTGTCTCCAGGTAGTGTTATTATATTCAGGTATGTTAATTAGCATTCAAACTGTTGATTTATATTTAAAAGTTTGCATATCTTGTTAACTTTTAAAAAGTTATTCCTAAAAATTAATCACCTTTTATTGTTATTCAGAGTTAGTCTTGATCCACATGCACAAATTGCTGTTGGAATTCTTCGGAACCATCTCACACAGTTCAGCTCTCACTTTAAGTCTGGGAGCCTTGCTGTTGACAACTCAGATCCTATTTTAAAAATCCCATTTGCTTCGTAAGTATGCCTTCTTTTGTCATGCTTTACCATTTACAAAACTGATGAGTTACCACTTTTCCTATGTAAGCAGTTCTTATGTATTTGATGATGATGTTTTAAGCAATATTGAGGATCCTCTTTACCCTTGCTACTCAGTATGATCCAGAGACCAGCAGTGCCAGTGTCCTCTTTGTCAACATTTTGCTGTGTTGCTTTATCAGTTTAGGGTGCACTCATGTTGTGCACTCTTCCTGTGAGATGCACATATAAGCCTGCATTTGCACATGCACACGCGTACACACACACACACACACACACACACACACACACACAGATTTTCAGAACTACTTGAAGTTAGTTGCATCCAGTATACCACTTAGAACATTTGTGTGTGTGTGTGTGTGTGTGTGTGTGTGTTTTGATAGGGTCTCACTATTTTGTTCAGGCTGACTCTGAACTCACTGGGTAGCCCAGTCTGTCTTTGAGTTTGTGGCAGTCCTGCCTCCGCCACTTGAATGTTGGGATCACATGTGTGCAGCAGCACTCCCAGCTCCAACTACCGTATCACCTCGTTCCTGCTGTCATGTGTAGGTCCATCGTTATTTTAAAAAAATGTGAGCATATTTTGTTATATGGCTGCATTGTAGTTAATGTAATCATTTTCCTTTCTTAGACATTTAGACTACTTCTAATTATTCCCTGTTATGTATGCTATGGTATATTCATCTTTTAATAAATCCTTAATTATCACTTTATACTGTAGTACCAAATAGCACTGAAGAATATGGATTTTAAAGTTTCAGTCTAGGTTTAACTTCAGCTTCACTGTGGTTAGTATGATCATGGGTAAGTTATGTAGAATTTTCTTCATTTCATTTCCAATTTGGAAGTGAGGCTTATAATACTACCTACCTCTGAAGTTTTGTAAAGATTAAATAGAATTATATACACAAAGCAACTAACACACTATCTGGTAATAGTAAACGCTTGATACTTGTTTGCTATCAATAGTACTAGGATAAAATTCTAGAAATGGAATTTTGGAGTTAGACTATATCAGATATATGAGGCTTTTGATACATACTACCAAGTCTTCTCCAGAAGGATTATATTGAGTCTCTTCATGTGTGGTACCTTGGCCACAAACTTAATTCGTTCTGCAATTTTGGAAAAGATGGCCAAATTTGTGTTTGGGAAAGATGGCAAGGCTAGGGAGATGGCTCAGTAGAATAAGCGCTTTCGTGGGAAAGATGGCTATGGATCAAGACTAACTCTGAAGTGATGGTCATGTTGTCATCTGGTACAGAGTTTGCAAATGAAAAGTATGTGGGCAAATGCTTCTGTTTGTGAAGTAAATTGCTTGCAAACAAAAGCATTTGTGACCAGGGTACCACTGTGATAAATATTTAAGAGCATGAAGTATAGAGCCAAACTACCTGGGTTTGAATTGTATTTCAGAGCCTTATTAGGTTTAAGAAGACAGACTGTGGACAAATGTCTTAGTCTAACACCTACATTGTAAAGAAGAAGTAATTTATTTTGACTTACAATTATAGTCCCTGTTCAGTTAGGACAGAAACAGGGTGGCATGGGGGCCTGCCCCTTAGCTCAGTTCTTTAAGTGGCTGCTTCAACAAAGCAGTCAGGCTCAGGTTGCTGTGGTTCAATCCCCACAACCCAAGCCAGCCAAACCTGCCCTGAAGGCATTCGGAGCAAAAAAAGAAAAGAAAAGAAAACAGGATGGCAGAGGGGCATGGTGCTCAATTTATGGCTGTAGGAAGCAGACAGCAAAGACAACAGCTGGAGAAGGAGGTGCAACCTTGCAGACCACACCCCCAGTGACCTGCTTCCTCAGCCAAGTTCACCTCCTAATAGCACATTCAGCTCCGATCTCTTTGGTGGATTAACCTTCTGTTGAGTGTAGCCCTGTCGTACAGTCACCTTCCCAAAGCCCAGTTTTTGAATACATGAGCATTTTCAGGAACATTCTACATCAAAACTATAACATTTCACCTGGCCCCCAAAGACTTATGTGCATCTCTATGCAAAAAACATTTAGTCCATCTCAGAGTTGCGAGAGTCTTAACAGTTCCAGCACTGCTGAAAAGTCCAAGTCCAAAAATCTTTGAGTCTAAAGGCAAACTCTTAGCTATAAGCACCTCTAAAAATCAAAAGGTACAGTTGTCAACATATAATGACACAGCATAAACATTCCTATTCCATAAGGGAGAAAGGGGATAAGAAGAAAAGCAAGCCAAAGAAGACTGAAATCCACCAGGGTAAGCATTAAACTCTACAGCTGCGTGTCCAGCACTGGGGCAAGTGGCAGTGAGATGTAAACTCCAGCTGGTTTGGGTGGCTTTTTTTAACATTAGAGGTTGCAATTCTCTTAACAGTTTTTAATGTAACCAATTTTGGTCAATTACATAGTTTTCACTGTCACCTAAACAAAGGGAAATCAAGGCTATGGTAGTTACATTTTTCTCTGACCATCACCAAGAGGCATCTTTTTCTGAGAAAATCATTTTTTTCTTGAATAATCAAGCTTATAGTCAGCACAGTCATAGAAGATCAAAGTACCAGGGAGGAAATGCAAAGGTAAAGAGAACGCTAGACATTGCACTTGCCAGGCAGGCACTTGTGACACTGAGCTATAGCCCCAGCCCTTACATGACTTCTTAGGAGGTTAACTCTGACTTTGGCTATCCATTTCCTAAGCCTTTTGATAAGTATTTCGAGCTTAACACAAAAATTCTTGATGTTGTGTTTTTTTT